GCAGTATCATTTCAGTAAAGCAATTTTGAACAAACAAGTATTAGGAATGAGATATCTCTATCTATGTCATTTACTCTTCTTTTTTATGTACTCCATTCAAATTTATTATTCGTGGAGGGTAAAAAACGGAAACAACAGATGAAATCCAACTCAAGTTAGATCAATTCTTCCACTTTTTTTTCTGCCTCAATAAAGCACCATTTATTTTTAGTGACGGTGAATTCTGAGCGAAATGAATTCGGTCGTCCGGTTAAAGTTCGTTCTGTATTTCTTTCACTTTAGAATTCCTCTGACTGTCTGTTTCACTCACTCTCTCGCCTCAATGTTTTCCAGTCTGAGAGTTACAGAATCAGGACAAGTAAACTAACTCGAATTTTAATATTTTTCAAAATGTATATTATTTTCCGTTATTCAGTAATATTGTTCAAATAATATACAAAATTCTATACTGACAAAACTTGTACGAAGGGAGGAAAGTGGAGAAAAAATAAGGATTTTTACTATTGTTTTCCAAATTTATTAAGCCATTCAGACTGTATAACTGCTGTTTCAGAAAATGGATTTTGAAGCAGACTGGTAAACATGATAGGTATTGAGAAGAAGAACAGAAAAATAAGGAAGAGAAAGGAGTAGATAATGACAGTGCGTATTGCTTTACTGTTTTTTTTTTTTATTTTCATTTACTTGTACTTCATCTTGGAAAACTAAGTAACCGATAGGTAGAAGCATGAAATTAGATGCACATGTCGTGCTTGAACAGTAGGAACGAATATCCGTGCTACTTGTCCAAAACATTTTTGGCAAATGTCAAAGCAGCTTTCCTGCAACAATATAAGATGTCCTTTCCTTCTTTTACAAGTTTGCTGAATGTTACGTATTTTTCTGAGATATCCATTTGAAATGAAAGAGACGTTACCGTTAACAATTGGTTAGCTTTTCTTCTAGAATATCTAAATTTTTTTTTTTCACTCATTTCAGTGAATTGAATTATGAGACAGCTTTTGAAAATACCCTGCAACAAACGTAAATCGAATGCAATTATATCATTTTAATCTGCTCAAGAGTACCCCAACAAAACAAAAATCTTAATATAAAGCAGAAATGCAGTCGCTTTAATGAAAACGAACATAATGTGAGTAAATATTTTTGAGCCCAAAAAAGCAGGCTAAACATATGCATAAAAATTGTTTCAATGATGTTGATAGTTGTCATTTCAACATACTAAAATAGTATCTACGGAGATCAAGAAAAAAGTACCTCGCTGTAGTCTTTTTTCCCCTGATGCTCTTGCTGTCGACCGATGAAAAAAGAAAAGGCTTTCTGCATGAAAATGGCTCACAGCAAAGTGACGGTCCAGAAACTTAACAAACTTCAGAAAAATAAACAACATTATTTGTTTTTTCATCTCCTATTCGAACAGCGCATAACGGTACAGAAATCTCTTGGTTATTACAAAGGTATCACCGGGTGCCTAAAGATTGTTTCGCATATTTAGTGAACAATCAAACCCTTAACTTTGATGGAAATTTCAAACTGAAAAGCCTTCCAAACAGGTCCCCTGCTACGAAACCACATGCAGAAGTACGTGATAAAATCACTTTCAAATGAACTAGACGAATGCTTCTTGTTGTTGCTTTTGGAACGTTACTTTCCCATATAAAGTCAAGCTGGAAAACAACAGATGTACTAGGATTAGTAATCCCATATCAAGAAACAAATGAAATCATTGCATCGAATTCAATTCTCGTCCTAGACTACAGGTTGCGGTGAAATGCTGAACCCTTACTTCTGTAACCAGCCTATATAACTCCTCCGTCTGACGGCGGCAACACTTATGCCAACAGTACCTTAAGAAAAAAAAAAAAACCGACGACGACTTGTCACATAATTTTAAACGTGATTAGATCAGTAACGATCAACAACAACTGATCATTCACTTGAATTTAAACTTTCAGCAAATATGTTTGGTTTACGTATTCGGACTTAGTCTTTTTGCAATGTCAGACGTCAAGAAAAACCAAAAAAAAAAAATACTCAAAAATATTAGAACGACCAAATTTTTTCCCCTCAAAAACTCTTCATGACCGCTTCGACCGCAGCACAAGTCGATTAGACAAGCTTGTGACTGAGTAGTAAATGTCATCTTGGTCAAGACACGGTGATGCGCTGATGCCGATTTCTAGAAATAGTCACACAGAACCCCGAAAAAAGAAAAAAAAAAGAATGCCCACGTTAAGACAAAGCTAAAACTCTGATTCCGGCTATAAAACTGGAGCTGTTAAATTTGCAATTAAAGAAGTTCGAGGGCTGACGACTAGAACAAACAGTTTTGTCGGACTGCCATTTCAGAACTATATCTGTCACAGACGAACGACCAAAAGATACAACAATCATAAAAATCATTTTAACGAGAGTTTATGTTTGGAGGAGATTTGATCACTAATAGTTTCCGTTGCTTGCTAGCTTTGAAAAAATCGTGTAATTGCGAGTAGATCATCGTTGTAAAAACGTGAGACAGTTGCCCAAATATATCCTCCACGGAAACATAAGTAATTTGGCAATCCACTGTTCATTCCTAAGACAGACAAAAATTACTCGAAGATCTTGAAACTAACCTGTACCACTAAACAATAGTAATAAGCTTCAGTTCTGAAAAAAATGACTTGGCAAAACGAGGAAAAGAAAAACTATATTAATATAGTAAGAAAAAGCAATTATTCAGCAACGTTCTCAACATCCACTATTTCTAGAAATCAGGTACCAAAATAACAACATAAAAGTTTTCTCTTGTCACTGGTTTTGGCAAACTTAAATTTGAGCTACCTCTTTAAAAATACCTGCAACAGATACCAATCTAATTCAACATCATCACCTTTATCTGTACAAGACTGCTGTACTAGAAAAGCTATTTCGATTTCGAGGAGATTTACAGTCATTCCTGTAAAAACGAGCGAAATAGAGATAAATATGCGGGCAAGCAAGAAATCAGATTGTAGAGATACCAATCTAATATGTCCGGATATTTTTAAGCTACCTGTCCTACATTAAAATGTAGATTTACGAGTTCATAATAAGCTTTTTGAGTTTGAAGGACTCGGGTTATATATCCGAGAAAATAAGGAAGAATTTCTCGATATGCAGATGTCATCAGCACTGTCATTAATTGCGTTTTGAAGCCTATAAGGGGTATTTTTTTGCGAGAAGCGTCAGTACTAAAACGCGTATTGATTTCGACTGCTTTTTTTCAAATTCTGTGTTCTAAGGTACATTCTTCGGTAGTTCTATACTTTTAATCTGAAGCAGATAACTACTGTGTAGCTAACTTGTAGTAAATTGGTATCACACACTGAAGACGGGACGAATATTAATTGCAACGATATAACGATACCGTGGAGTAGTTATCTTAAAATCGGGGTTCTCCGGGGTGAATGCGGCTACTATTTTATCAGAATAAAATGTATACGATTGTCACTGTAATCAAAAAGTAGAAAAATTATTATTTGTCTTCTGTTATCATTTCCTAAACATGAATTAAATCAGGTAGTATCAAAATCAAGCTAAATAACTGTTTGTTCTTCTAATTCCAAACTGAACTGTAGTGTCTAAATACCCCAATTACAAAGCATTCTGAAACTGCAATTTTCAAGCACTTTAATCAGAAAATAATACCAAGCTGCGAAAATCGACAAGAAACTGTAGTTTCCCCTGCGAATCGCCAGGTTAAAAACAGGTTTCAATCAAAGATTTCTGCGGCGAAAAGCAATAAAATAAGCACAAACGGAATAGCTTTTCATCCAACAATTACACAACACTATAGGCTTGGAGGTTAAATTTGGCAGCTTTTTTTATCAAAGATATTTAATAACAAGTAAGATAAATAATAATCTAGCGTGATTTTAACGCTGCCTGATTTGGCTCATTCTCAGGAGAAGACAACGGAGGAGAAATAAATGATGATTTTTCGTACTTTGTTCTCACAGTATGATGGGGCTAAAACGCAACGAAAGCTGGAATAAAGCGTTAAAACAGTGTTAATAATTGCGGACCAAGAAATCTTTCCTCACTTTCTAAAATATAAAACCCGATTTCGGAAAGCTATCTCAACGCACTTATTACGAAATTTAAAACTAGTGTTCAAATAAAAAAAGCCAGTTTAATTATCCCCTATAATCCTCGTTAAGTAAGAAAATACAAAATAATTTTTTCTGCGTTTACATTGAAATAGGTGTTTAGTCGTTCAGCAACATCCAAAACTTCCCAAACATCAGGGCGTTCAGTGTCAATAGCGGACAAGCATCTTGCAATTAAATCACGTATCTGTTAAATTCCCTGCATTAATTAAAAAAATAACACTTGAGTAAGTTCAAAATAGGTAAAAGAAAAAAATGAACAGTCAAGGAATTTTAAAATATACCTGCTCTGAATAAATATCTGACGGAAGTGGAGGATATTCACAATTCTCAATTTTTTTGCATAAAGATAACAAATTTTGTTTGTCTCCATAAAATGGTGATTGTAAAGCTACCATCTATAAAAGTTTCAACTTTTTTTTTCTAAGTCACTGGAAAGAAAACAAACAATACTAAAATATAAGCAAATTCAAATGAAAAAGTAACTGGAACACTAACTTCATAAAGCAAGCACCCAATACTCCACATATCTGATTTGAAACTGTAACCAGCATCTTTTATTCGTTCGGGGCTCATGTAATACGGTGTACCCACCAACGAATGAGCAGCAGTAGTTTTAAAACTAAAAAGACGTCCCAGGCCAAGGTCACCCAACTTGACTGTCTCATCGGCAGTAATAAAAACGTTTGCTGGCTTGATATCTCAAAAAATTACTTGATTTTCGCACTTCTCTTGCTCGATAGGGAGAGAAACGGACACCGTAAATTATAAGCAGGAACCACTGCTTACAAGAAATCGCTAAAATTAAAGTGAACACCCTCTTCCCACTTCTCTGAAACCAAAAATATCCAAACAAATGGTGAAGTGAAAAAAAAAAACAACGCAAGTTGTCAACAAAAAATACAACAGGTTTCAACAAATGAAAAACTAGAAGCCAATAAAAACACAACGAGACACCGCTTCGCTGTCTAAGAGCTACATAGCAATCAAATGAAAACCCAAGCAACTTCGTCAAGAAAACCACTATTACCTCTATGCAATATTCTCCTTGAGTGCATGTGTTCCAAGCCACGAATTATTTGCACAAAGTACCTCCATATAATTCGTTCCGGGATTAAACTTCGTATGCTTTTGTAATACTAAAAAAATTTGTTGGTTAACGTAAATGCAATTATAGAGTTGAAAGTTTGCAACGGTTTAAATAACACATTTCTTTATGTTATTAGTACTTCCAAAATCAGTGACGATACAGTTGATTCACCAAAGCCGGTGAGTGTAAAATCTTATTCAGAACCTCACTTCTCACTTTATAGAACAAACGTAAAAATACTAAACACATAAAGACAATAAATTGAATTGACATAGAGAGCAACTTCCCGTCACTATTAATGATCAAAACAGAAAGATGGCCATCTGGAAGTCGCTCATCTGAACAAGAAGTCCAAAAAAAAAAATCTGTTTTTATAGCACCAGACTGGTGCAGATATTTATTTTTGCTAGTTAAGATGTATCGGTCAAAAATGAAGTTTTATTCTTTATCCACAATAAAAGAATTAGCTGACGCTGATAAAAAAAAGGGCAAAAAGTAAGCAATACTGAACCCGAATAAGTCGGTTAAGGTCTCCTCCATCAGCCAATTCTAAAACTATGTACATCTGACCATCTTCAATAAATGAAGTATAACACTTGATGATGTTTACATGATCTAATTTCTCGTGCAAATGAATTTCCTTCTGACAATCTTCTATCGCCTTCTGGTCCGTCATTTCATAAACCTAAGTCAGAGCAAAATAAGAAAATAAAAATAAAAAGATTGTGAACAAATGAGAACTGCTTAATGAAGCGGCACAAGCGCAACTTACGGAATACATTCAAAGCAGCTTTCTTACGAAAAAACACGTTTCTCATGAGCGTTTTGAACAAATAAAATGAGTAAGATCAATTAACCTTTATCCTCTTCAAAGCTACTTTCCTTCCGTCTTCCTTGCACCTCGCACGATGTACATCTGAGAACTGCCCCTTCCCAATTTTCTTTTCTATCTCAAAAGCTTCCAAAGTTCCGTACCTTATAGCGAGGTCATCACAGATTTGTTCGGATGTCATAACTGAAACCATGCAGCGTTACCATTTTCGTGAAGGAAAATTTATAGATTGTTCAACTGCACTAAAACACTGAATTACAGAACAAATGAATACCAGCAAAAAATGACTTCATTTGTATTCGTATGTCATCCCGTCCGCCTTAAGAACCATACAGTTTTGGTGGTCATAGCCCGTCCTACCGAGTACAGTGCCTCCCAACGTGTTGACTTTGCTCTTTCTTAGCTCTAACACTTTTTGAACAACGTCAAATTCACAGAAAACAGGCCAAAAATGTAATTTGATAATGATCACTTAAGCACTGAAAACAATGAGTGCTTATTAGTCCATATCAAATCGCTCACGACTAGGTTTAAAAGGAAGTCAGAAAATTGATGTTCTTCATAGCCTGAATATCTAGAATGATCAAATACTAGCAGAAAAAAACTTAAGAAAACGACGTCAACCTCGTCATTGAAACAAGCACTGCTCAAAATGGTTCACACCCAAGCCGAATAAGTATTTTTCTTACTGTTACTCACTTTTAACTATATTATATAACATTACGACTTGAAAAGCAAACTGAAGACAGAAAAGTGTACGATGCTCACACCTGACGGTGCGAGTTGATATGAAGTTTCTAACATTTGCCACAAACAATTATGATAAAGGATGAATAGAACAAATGGTAAAAAAAGATGTTTAGAGGTGGCAAGTTTAGTGCAAAATTAATCACTTTTAAAATTACTAAAAGAATGAATCACTGAGAGCGAGAAACTAAGATGTGACAGTAGGACATTGTCCCAAGAAAAAAAAAAATTTTCTTCAACAGTTCCAAATTAAACTACACATTACTTGAGTTGTAGTATTCTACATTTTTTAACACATCATAAGACTCAAGGAGAACGGAACTGATAAGAAATTGCGATGCTAAAATAAAGAATTTAGTGTAGATTCATACCTGCTGCTGTGATCAGCTAACAGAAAAGTTTGCAAAGTTCAAAAACATAAATTTCACGAAAAAATTTTTTTGCTTGGAATACAGTCAGATGAAGCTGCTCAAAAGTAGAAAAATATTGCTGCTGATGGGTCACAGATTAAAAGAAGCGGCAGAGGAAAACATTTTTAATCGTTACTGCTCATCAGGTCAGTTTAACAGCTATTTTCAAATTTGTCCCCCTGTAAGCTGCAGTATAGTTAGTCAAAATTGGTCGTACAGATAACATGATCACGCTGTTTACTATCAGTGAGAACGTAGCTTTAAATTTGCAACAAATTTTCTATAACAAAAGCTTGCAGTCTACTTGTTAAAACAACAGTTAGTGCTTATTTAGGGAAAAACTCCTCAAAAAACAAATTTGAAACCGCAACTCTTCTCGCATCAGAGTTGCAAACACAGCTTTGCTTCGTGTCATGAAATAGTTAAATTAGGTAACATTTAGTCAACGACAGAACAAATGAGCTCTTTACTTCCACTTCATTATATTCGTTCGAAGAACCGCACAGTTTTCGTAGCCATAGTCCTTTCCATTCGCGTATAGTGTTTTTCAACGTAGTGACTTTACTGTCGCCTGATTTTGATAAAAACCTTTTCAAATAAAGTCTCTCAATCACAGGACGTAGACATAAAACCAAAGTTTGCAAATCGTTTGTAGTTGAAAAAAAAAAGCTGTTTATTATTCTAGGTAAACTTGTCAGAACCAGATACCAAAAAAAGATCACGAGAAATTGCAGCAAGCAAAATTCGATCACTTATTGAGAGGGTAAAAAATGGTCATTTACAAAAAAAGGACGTTTAGAACGGTTATGAATAGGGGAAAATAACAGTACTATTTCGACTGCTATTCATATCGAGCTTAAAACTTCACATCCTGATCACTGATGGGAAAGGTAGCCAAAATTTAAAACTCTGTTCTCTGCCTAATGGCACACCCAAATTACTTAATTTCATGGTACTACTGTAACGGTTTGCAAGTGGGGTAGTCGTTTTGACGTCGATATTGAACGGCGTGAGTTGTGAAAAGATCAAAAATCTTTCAGATTTCTGTCGCAGTTTGTCGCCAAAAGACAAAGACGAGAAGATAAGCCTCGATACCCCGAAAGCAACTGATACGACTTATCAGAATGATAAGCAAAAAGTCAAAGATCAAGCCCCAACAGTTCCAAATCCGGCAAGAAAAAAGAATCTCCAGCACCCCTGAGACCGCGGATCTAGAAGATATAGGATAAGAAGAGAAGCCACCTTATGGGTTTAATTACCCATAAATTACCCAAGTTTGAGGCATATACGTATCGCGTGCTACGAAGAAAAGAAATATCCTACTACTACCTGAAAGTCCCGCGTGGCAATTCAGAATCAATTTACAATACTTTCCCTTTATACAGTCATCACTGATGTAGTACCAAGAAAATGAAATCGTTGATATCGAGCATTTAATTTTAAAGCACACTTAACAAAAAACTTTTAATAAACAGCGAAAGACTGAGCATTTGATGACGAGAAGTGAAGAAACAGCAGTGAAAAACCGTGATAAAAAGAAGACCTCTTCTCAACTCTAAATTAAGGCATGAGTATGCAAATCATACTAGTAAAAACACTTTATCATCCCATTAGATTCATAAATTCTCTGCCGTCAAGTGATTTCAATTTGTGAAAAAAACTTTGATTTGAATTAACATCTGCAGCAACAATAACAATCGGCTACTGAAAAATTTTAAGGAACACAACTTTCTTTTTTCAACTCGCACCACTCACTCTCAGCAAGTCGTGTCGACCGCAACACTTTCAATATAACAATAGGGACGCCCAACCAGGCAACATAAAAATCAAGCTAAATCATATATTCTTTAATTATTGTTAAGCATTTTTAAAAAGCAAGAGTTGGGAAATTTCCTCGTTCTACCTCTAGTATTCTACAGTTGCTATTGAGAAAATGCCTCTGATAACATTCTACTCTCTGACCTTCATTATAGCGCTTTATATTATCATGTGACAACGATAGAAAATTGCCACAATTCGATATTGTCTTTCACAGTCCTGCGTTACTCTGAATTTGGTTAAAAAAGCGTCACATTTTCTTCTTGATCCTCTCATCGCTACATTGATCTGTAATCATATGGCGTATTTTTAGTTTTCATTATAATACCAATATTCCGCTTCATTTGATCAAATAACTTTTACAGATGGCTACAACAACAATACCTCTGAGCTATTCCGTATCGCTAAAAACTATCAGTTACGCGTATCCAGAATGAGATAGAGGCATGACGATATTTTTATGGCTCAAAGATGTTTTTTTGGGTCCGCAGCCCATGAATCTTATCAAATATAGATTCAGAACATGTTGTAATCTCGAGAAAGTCCTTATTAGCTGCTCAGATAACACTTACAAAAGGAACGTGACGAAGCTCTAAGTGAAGGGAATAAGGAAAGAGCCAAACTGACTAAAACATAAAATGATCAGATTTACGTTGACAATGTAACTGTAGGTTGTAATTACGAAAATGATGTTAAACGCTTATACAGATTAACGAAGAAAATAGGTTTTTTCTTTTTTTCTTTTTTCTTTTCTTTTTTTTTTTTT